CCCTCGGACGCTCTTCCGCTCTGATAACGGCCGCACACTGTTATGGCGCCCCCCCCCCCCATCCCCCCCCCCAAAAAAAAGGGTTAGGTGTTTCATCAGCTATTTCTTATTCACTTATTTTTAAATTAGACTGAAAGCAATTTACTCATCTAGACATCGCCTGGACATTAAGACAATTTTCTAATTTCTTTAAAATGGTCTATAGGGTTATTTTCTCATAAACATTACTTGTAACTAGCTTCTTTCTTGTCTTTTTTAACTACATCTAAAACAGTACAAAAACCTGTTTGCAGTAATATTTTGGTAAAGAATAAAAAAAAAAAACCTGAAAGAAGGAATGTCAGTCATACCTTACTGCAACTGAATGTTCCTAGAGAACTCTTAGCTGATAACCATGCATAAATGATATCCAACAAAATCATACCAAGAACTGTTGGCTATCTATAAACAAGAAATTTTTCAACCAATTTTTTTTATTTTTCAATAATTATCGAACTACTGTTGCTGATGAAGTCAAAATTTATGAATTCCTATAGGTCCCAGCAATTGAGTTACAAAACTGAACCCAAATTTCCACCGAATTACAGCTCAAATACTGATCTGGCAGACACGCCATATTTTCAAAGGAATGTCATTAGTAGAACTCTTATACCTACTTAGCAATAATCTATTTGTTTTCATAGTGGAACCTGCAATAAGATTAAAGACAATGTCTGTTTTTATCCACTGCTTCACTAGTTAAATGCTTAGAAGACATTTAATGAGCTAGAATCCTCTTATACGTAAACAAATTAATATGCATCTTCCTTCTTTAATGTTTATTAATCAACATGTCTTCACCAAGAATGTTCTAAACAATTTACACAGAACTTCATCTTTTTAAATAAAATCCCTCCTTAGAATGCGTGTTCAAAGACATCATTCATCTTAGCTCCTTGAAGAAAAGGTGTTAGGAAATTGCTTGTTCTCTGTACATGTACAAAGCAGCGTTGTTTTCTTATTTTCCAATCCTCCAGCTTCTTCTTTTTTTTTTTTTTTAATTACTTAGCTGCCACTATCCAAACATGTTGATCACCAGTGTACTATATTTCCCAATTGGTGGCAAAATGGCAAAACAAAACAAACTCAGTAACATATCTAATCCTAATCTTCCTTCTGGCAAACAGAGTAGTAAAATTTTCCACACAAAGGATAAATTGGTAAAGTCATTTATTTGTTTCCAAACCCAGATACCCTAGCAGAGAAACATGATGTTTGGAGTATTTGCTCTTGCTACAAGTTATGATTAATGAGAGGCGAACCTCAAAGACCGGAAATCTCTGAGAGTTTCATACATTCCTTCAGCATTTCTGCATAATTCAGACAAATCTGATGAAAAACGAGGTTTTTTTGCTTGTTTGTTTGTTGTTTCATATCAGCTTCTAAGCATTTTTTCATTCAGGTGAGACTATGGATAGCAAATTGCATCTGATTGGCACTGTGGAACTGTATCACCAGTTGGATGGGCTAAGTAGGGCTAGAAAATCAACAAAATTAAGGTGACCCTGACACACAACATTAAGCAGTTGAACAAAGCTCATAACTGCAAGAATACGGATCAGTCTGCATAGTTTCATAATATGCACATCAGAAAATTCATGGGGGAGCTGAGAAATCTATTTTATTAGAACCATAAAACTAATTCATGGCATTTGAAAAGTGAAATTGAGTGGCTATATGAAGAAACTGGATCAAAATCTACTCAAGATTTCTACCCAGGAGGAAGATATTCTTATGCCCCGCTAACTTAAATAAAAGTACAAGTTAGTCATCCAGTTAAATCTTGAAGTCATTGCTATGAGAATGACATATACATTCTTACTCTAATAAAATAGACAAAGGAATAAAGAGATTGGGCTGTAAAAGCTGGAAACAATATAGCTTTTGTTGATGTTTATGGGATAAAGTTCATCAGACAAGGCAAAAACCTTGAATGCTTTTGTTCCTGACTTGATTCTGGAATCCAGAATATCGGATAGTGACACAGAAGTGTCTGTTTTTCTTACCATTCAGAGATGATGCAGCTGAGAGGGCCCTGTATGGGACAAGCATGGCATGACCCAGCCCATGCTAGCATTTAAGTGGAAAGGAGAAAGAGGCAGGTAAGATAAAAAGAACTAGGTCAGAGCAAAGGAAGACACTTAAGGAAAAATAAAGCAGGATGTTAATTGTACCAGGTGAAATAATTTTACAGAGCATGCCCACTGAGAAAGTAGCGTCAGATATTCCGAAAAGGCCTGTCTATGAAAGAGCCTCTCAAAATGCTGGGCTGTACACAAAAGAATTCACCCATTCGGTTTCCTCCATGTCACTTCTAAGGTTTCAAAATTACTGGAACAGACCAGGCTTTATTATTTTTTCATCAAACAAATCTAAATTCCTGAATAAACACTACTTTATTTGCATTGTTTTGTTTTTCTTTCTAACGCAGCTCTTCTCTGATTACCAGATATGACTTCATTACAGACATGAGGATATTAGCTCTGTATAGTTCACTTCTCAGTCACAACAGACCTGTATGCTCCAAGTACCCAACTATTTTTGGTTGCAGCTAGCTCAGAAGGAACAAGACAAAGGGAAAAAGGTTTACTATCAACAACAACAACAAAAAAGAGGATAAGGTAACAATGTTTTTGTTTGTTTGTTTGTTTGTTTTTAATTTAAAACATGACAAAGCCACAAAAACCAACAATTTCTGCAACAAAAGCCGGGGAAAGGAACCCCACCTGCAGGGACGTCATTCAGTTACACCTCTCCCCTCCCTCTGCAGTTCTCTAGATAAACAGATGGTCTGCTGCTCCTCAGCATCCCAGCTATTTTCTTCTGCCTCACTGCTACAAACCAGGAGAACTGTGAAAATGAGGCCTACCAGTACAAAAAAGAAGAGGTTGTCCTCCCAGAGGAGAGCACAGCCTGTCATGCCCAAAGATGCATCAGGTACTTCTTACCAATTCCCCTGACAGTGCCTGAAGCGTTTTTCCTGCTGTTCTCCTCCTGCTGGCTTCAGCAGGTATGAAACAGGGAAGTCTAACAGTTGCAGTTCTGACCTGAGGGACCAGCAAGCCCAGTTCTAGCCCCCGGCACTTTAACATCCCATTTAGTCAGTCATCTTGGCTCTTTCTCTACTCCTCTCTGTTTTCCTGAGAGTATGGAGCAGAGACTGACAGATAGGATCCATTTCTACGGCAGCTCATTTCTTAGGAACTTAGCACTTTACCTCTTACTACAAACACAATGTTTTTTCAGAAACTCAGTTTCAAAATCACAGAGAGACATTTGTTGTATTTTTAGGATTGATCATCAAAATGTGGTTTCAGAATGAAAGTTTAGGCTGGAAGTTTTGTATTTTCATCATAGATCTACTGAAATGAAACCAAGACACAAGAGGTATAAGGATTTTTGGCCTCTCTGTGATTCCCCAGTAGCAGCAGAGATCTGATACATGTTGGATACCATCCAGAAGACAAAGCATCGCATTCAGCTGGCTCCATCTGAACACAGCTCAGACAATTGCCCCAACAACAGGAATGCATGTCTAGGCAAAATTATAACATGGTTATTATCTCTGTAATAAATCTTGTGATTTAAATTCCACATTGGTCTCTATTACCCTTCCCCAGGAAGTAAAGGATGAACCAAATAAGAAAAGCATTTACAATTAAAAGATTATCTGAGATCCAAGATATTACCAAATACAAATCTTTGAAGTGAAAATAAAATAGCGATAATTAAACGTAAGGTTGGACCGGCTTTGTCACAGATTTCCTTACAATCTTGTCACATCAATTCCTTATGAGATAAATGGGAGTCATACAGTCCAGCATCAGTATCAGTGTTACATGTAACTTCATTATTTTTTGCAAAGAACTTCCTTACTACAGTGACAGAGACCATAACACACTTTTGACTTATTCTGTCTGCTGAATCAGAGCTACATCTTTGTTTTGTTTCAAATGAGAATGCCTGTGTCTCCATTCAAACACATGCTCTAACAGTTCACCAGCACTGGTATAAGTGGTCAACCTGTCAGTCAGTACTGAATCTGAAGTGCATTCCAGAAAAAAAACAAATGGAAAATACTAATAAGGAGTCAGAATGTTTCCTTCTCCCTGCAGAGAAACTAAACCATTACACACCTGAACATTTTTTAAGAATGGAAATCACAACTCTTACTTTTTATATACTTATGCACACTGTCTTTCATCCACGCTTCTCCTTCTTTGGTGTAATTCCACCTGCAGAAGTTATAAGGCCAGACACCTCTACTCATGCTACAGTTCTCCAGATAAGCAGATGCCCTGCTGCTCCCCGTTAGCTCAGGTGCTATGTTTC